GTCACAGAACCCTTTTTCCCCAATTGATCTGGGGATCTTCTGGCTTCCTAGGGTGGATTAGCTAGAGAAGGGCCCAGAATTCAGTTTAAAACCTTAAAAAGACAAAACAAGAACCAGACAGGGGCGGGCTGCTGGCCAAGGCAAGGCTTGTTGAGCAGCTCCCTTTCTGTGGCCTGCCAAAACTGGCACATGGCTGGTGGCAGAAGGCCTGATGCCCTGGCTGAGAAAGAGGTGGGAGGTGGGGATTAGCTTCAGACAAAAGCTTAGCGCAGGCAGTGTTAATAGCCCCAATTCAGGGCTTGCCACTCCCCCGTGGAGGCGCTTCCAATTTTTGGAAGCTCCCCAAGCCCCAGGCCAATTTATCCAGACCCTCCCAGCTAGAAGGGAGTGGGGTCTGCAGGGAGAAGGAGGAGGAGGAGGAGAAAGAGGAAGGATTGTGGGCCTCTTGGTCCTCTCTGAGCCTGGTGGTTTCCTTGCAGACCTTCCATGACCCAAACCAGGGAACATCGTGAGCACTAAACGTTCAGTTGTAAGTCGAGGACCGGGAAGGGGTTCAGCCGGGCTCCCCACGGACGCCCAATGAAGTGGGGGATCCGGGAGGAGCTCCAGTGAAGCTGCCCAGCAGGGGGAGGGGGCTGCGGGCAACCGTGTTGTGTTACAGGCCTGAATGCGAGAGATCCCGGCAGGAGCTGCCAGCTGTTTTCCCTACACACACACACACACACACACACACACACACACACACGGCTGTCAAAAGTCCACGGAGTGAACTTGAAATGACCCCACTCGCTGGCGGGGTTCACTGCTGGGGCAAGTGAGGCTTTATTAAGCCACGACCGATCATTTTTTTTGGGGGGGGGGGACAAAGCAAAGCCAGGCAGGCAGGGGGATCTCCAGACCCCCCCCCCCAGCCAGGATCAATTGCAATGCACCCGACTCCTTAATGCAGCATCTTTGCTCCCGTTGGGTCCCACCGGTGTGTCACCCGTCCCAACGCTGCCCTCGGCGTCCCAAGCCATCATTAAGCCAGCTTTAAGCTCCCTTTGGGGAAAGAGAGAGGCCCAGCGGGCCGAGTGCTAATCATGCGGGGGGGGGGAAGCTTTCCTTTGGACCGCTGGCTCTTCCCAGCATAACTGCTTTTCCCAGGGAATTTCCCAGCATGAAGTGGCCCAAATAAGTCGGGCATCCTACTAAAAAACCAACACCCTGGCAAAATATTTCTCATTTCCAGTCGGGGGCGGAGGGCGGGGGGCTGCAGGCAGACCCTTCCCATCCCAGTTTTTTTTAAATTAATTTCATTATACGTGTTCCTCTTCGTCATGAGGTCACACTCAGTGTTTCTTTATATATATGTATGTAGGCAATTGGGTATTTTATACTCTTTCTGGCCCTATGGCTGTAATAAAGTGCTTTTTTAAAAAAAAAAAACCAAAAATCAGGTTGTTGCCTTGTGTCTTATCCCGCACTCTGCATTTGTGGGGCGTGCTGAAAAGTTTGCTTTGGGGAAAGTTCAGGAAGGGCTGCCAAAGGATTTGCACTTATGAATGCTTGTTTGTTGTAGGGCACAGAACATCCAGGCAAGAGGCAAAACACACACACACACACACACACACACACAAATAACTTGTTTCTCTCGCCAGGGTCCAAAGTCAGCACTGATGGAGATTTACAGCGGGCTTTGGGGACAGAAACCCAGGGCAACTCTTCACCTACACACACACACACAAGTTACACAACCCACCCTCCTGCGCTGGGTTCATAATCCCTGAACTTTGGGGCTGCTGCTGCTGCTGCTTTGTGATTGGAAGCGCGACAACACCACCTCCTGCCAGCCACAAGGAGAGAGAATTAAAAAACAAAATACGCTCTCCTGTGGCCAAACCCAGGCCAGGAAGGCGAGAACTTGAAACAAACGAGTGGAGGGAACACAGGTGGTCCTCGACTTACGACCACAGGTGAATGTGGGACTCCACTGTGGTCGTAAGTTGGGACTACGTACCTGTAGGACGAGAGCCGGTTTCTGAAATTCGGCCAAATTCAGGGTTTGGGGTTTTTTTAAACCAAAAAAAGCATGGGGATGGTGGTGAGCGCCTTCCGCACTTGGGATGACAAAGTTCCCAGTTTGCCTTAAATGTTCCCCTCCCGATGGCTCCTGAGTGAAGGGAGGGGGCTGCTGCGGGGAGGGTGGGGGGCTACAGCTGCAGCTGCCTCAGCAGAAATCAAAAACTCCCTGAGAAAACATTAAATCTCCGACATGAAAGGCCCCCGCTCGGGATATTTAGTCCTCTCCTCGGCTGAGATTTGTCAGTTCCCAAAATCTTTTAGCGCCTTCTTCCTCCCCATCCCGGCCAGTGAACTCTGATTTACCTCCTCTCTCTCCTTCGGGATCCCGAGAGGTTGCGTAGCACGCTGCTAGTATTTTATATTTATGTATTTTATATATTACGTTACACTAACATTGCGTTAACATTATGCATTGTATGGCTATATTGTATTGTGTTATATGTTACGTTGCTATATTATATTATACTATAGCACAGCATAGCATATTATATTATACTATATTATATATTATAGCATGGTATATTGTAGTACAGTATATATTATATTATATTATATTATATTTATTATATTATATTATATTATATTATATTATATTATATTATATTATATTATATTATATTATATTATATTAATTATATTATTATATTATATTATATTATATTATATTATATTAATTATATTATATTATATTATATTATATTATATTATATTATATTATATTATATTATATTATATTATATTATATTATTATAGCATAGTATAGTATATTGCTATATTATATACTATAGTATGTTGTATTGTACTGTATTATGATTCCGGATCTCCCCTCCTTCCGCCGCGCCCTTAAGACCTGGTTGTTTCAGCGGGCAGGACTGGCCTAGGGGTATTTTAAATTGGTTTTAGCCAAATTTTAGTAGAAGCGGCCGATTTAAATATTTATTTTTAATAATTTTTTAAAACTTTGTATTGTATTGTATTAAACTGTTTTTAACTGGCTGTAAGCCGCCCTGAGTCCTACGGGAGAAGGGCGGGGTATAAATATAATAAAATGAAAAAAAAAAATAAAAATGAAATGAAATTATATGGTATCGTATATTATATTATAGTATTCCTTCTTTCCCTTCCATTTCCTTCCTTCCTTCCTCCTCCTGCTTCTCCCTCCCTTTCTTTTTCTTTCTTTCTTTCTTCCTTCCATCCTTTCTCTTTCCTTCCTTCCCTTTTTCTCCTTCCTTTCCTTTTCCTTTGTTTGTTTCTTCCTTTCTTCCTTCTTTCTTTCTTTCTTCCCTTTTTCTCCTTCCTTTCCTTTTCCCCTTCGTTTCGTTTCTTTCTTTCTCTCTCTCTCTTTCCTTTCTTTCTCTCTCTTTTCTCTTTCTTTCTTTCTTTCTCTCTTTCTCTCTTTCTCTCTTTCTTTCTTTCTTTCTTTCTTTCTTTCTTTCTTTCTTTCTTTCTTTCTTTCTTTCTTTCTTTCTGCCAGCAGCCTCCAGGTCAAAGGGAATGGAAACTCCCTCCCAGGCCTATATTTAGGATCAAAGTCCTTTTCTAGCACACATAGGCAGCCAGTCTCCAGGGATCAAACTGCAGTGAACTTTCCCCATCCGAGATCTCTGTGCCAACTTCAATACTCAGCTCGGGGCGTTTGAGAGAAGCCATTCCCCGCTTCCAAGATACATGGAAAAACCATTATGGGGATCGTCAAGCGAAAAATCCAGACAATGGCAAAACCAGATGCGGCCCATAAAGAAGGATTATTTTTTTTTGCATGCTTTTTTTTTTTTTAAGAGGGTTATTAAAATTCAGCTTTGTTCAGCTTCAGAGTCCAAAGGCCCACCTGGCTGAAGAAGCAGATGACTGAGAAGGGGAAGGGGCTGCATCTCTCCTGACATTTAGCTGTGGTTGCCAGCCCCCCCCCAGCCAAAGGCAGACAAGGATGAAAGAACGTCTGGCATTTTTTTGGAATCAGGTGGAAGGATCTGGGGAGCAGACTCCGCCATTAATCCTCCTCTCCCTGCTGACAGCATCCACGGAGAAGCTGCAGCCCTGGTCAACTGCTCAGGCTGGGCTTCCTTGCAGGGGAAGAGCAATATTTTAACAGAACAACAGAGCTGGAAGGGGCCTCGGAGGTCTTCTAGTCCAACCCCCTGCTCGGATAGGAAACCCTATGCCATTCCAGACAAGAGGCTCTCCAGTCTCTTCTTTAAAACTTCCAGTGTTGGAGCAATCACAACTGCTGAAGGCAAGCTGTTCCTTCCATTCATCCATCCATCCATCCACCCAGCCACCCACCCCCTCCCTTCCATCCATCCATCCATCTACCCATCCATCCACCCACCCACACACACACACACACCCTCCCTTCCATCCATGCATCCATGCATCCATCCACCCACCCACACCCACACCCACACCCCCTCCCTTCCATCCATCCATCCATCTACCCATCCATCCACCCACCCACCTACCAACCTTCCCTCCCTCCCACCCACCCACNCCATCCATCCATCTACCCATCCATCCACCCCCCCCCCCCCCCCCCCCCCCCCCCCCCCCCCCCCCCCCCCCCCCCCCCCCCCCCCCCCCCCCCCCCCCCCCCCCCACCCACCCACCCACCCCCCCACCCCCCCTCCCTCCCACCCACCCACCCACCCACCCATCCATCCACCCATCCATCCACCGTGAACGCTGCAACCGTCACAAGTATGAAAATGGCCCTAAGTCACATTTTTCAGTGCCGTGCTAACTTTGCAGGTTACTAATGGAACGGCCTGTGAGTCGAGGGCTACCTGCAGAGGGCTACCTGTCAGATGTCAGGCCAGGCCCGAGTCGCCCCCTTCCTGGGTGCCTACCTTTGCCGCCGAGTTCGACACGCCATGAGCCACGTTCCGTATGAGGCCGCCCACGTTGCCGTACTTGATCAGCCCGGTGACCCCTTCGGAGACGTCGTTCAAGAGCCCCATGGGGTTTCCCAGGAAGTCCACGGAGCTCAAGATCCTGGCCGCTTGGCTGAGCAGTTCCTGGAAAACACGTGGCAAGGTGGAGCTCACGGCGCGAGCCACCCCCTCGGGAATGGCTGCCCCCATCGGAAGCAGAAATAAAGGATCTTTAAAGCCGTTCAACCCGGGAGCCACCTACTTCCTGAAAGTGCTTGAGGATGTCGTTGACGATGAAGCTCTTGGTCTCGTAGGGGTGGACCCGGGTGTAAGGATCCAGGTCTATGACGGCGTCTTCGAAGCGGACGAGAGGGAAGCCCAGCGTGCTCTTCAGTGCCTGAGCTCGGAACAGAACCCGTCAGTTGTTAGAATCTTCTATAAAATGGGTACTGCAGACAAAGCTCAGCGGAGGACTTTTGTGGGGAGGCTGAGCTGACCCAGAAATGGATATTTGCTATTTTGGGACAGCAACCAAAGGAGACCCACCTTGGTGAAGAAAGACCCCCCCCCCAAAGTCTTACCTTGAGATCCAGGGGGAGCTTGCTAGACGTAAAGACGCTTAGTTTTATTTGGGGCACGCTAATTTTGAGGTTTTCGAAATAGTATCTCTTCCGGGCAACCTCTTGACCGACCGGCTTTTCGTGGAGGTTTTCGTCGTAATTTTCAACCTCTGAGGCCAACAGGAGAGGAAAGAAGAGAGAGAGAGAGAGAGACACGTCCGTGAGCTGCAAGGGAGCCCAGTGTTTATGTCCCTGAAGTGAGACGTTGATTAAGTGAATTTTCCCCCTTTTTACAATCTTCCTTGCCACCGTTGTTAAGTAAATCGCTGCAGGTGTTAAGTAAGTGACACGGTTGTTAAGTGAATATGGTTTCCCCATTGACTTTTGCTGGCCAAAAGGTCATAAAAGGGGATGATGTGGCCCCAGGGACACTGCAAAACCGTCATAAATACGAGTCAGTTGCCAAGTGTCCAGGTTTTAATCACAATAATAATAATAATAAAGTTGGAAGGGACCTTGGAGGTCATCTAGTCCAACCCCCTGCCCAGGAAGGAAACCCTATACCACTTCAGACAAATGGCTGTCCGGTCTCTTTTTCAAAACTTCCAGTGTTGGAGCATTCACCGCTTCTGGAGGCAAGGAGTTCCACTGGTTAATTGTCCTCACTGTCAGGAAGTTTCTCCTTAGTTCTAAGTTGGAGGAATGACCCTGGGAATGCTTTCAGTGTGAAAAACGGTCAAAAGTCCCTTTTTTCCCCTGTGCCGCTGTTAACTTTGAACCGTCCCTAATTGGCTGTAGTTTGAGGACTAGTCGTACAGGCGGGAAATCACATTTTAAGACCCGGTTCTGAAAGAGAGAACTCGGCAGGACCTCGTCCGTTAAGACTTCCTTTTTTAAAAAAATGTGGGGGTTTTTTTGGGGGGGGGGCTCCACGTTCAGGGAAGTCTCTTTGCAACACAACCCGCTGACAAAAATTCACGGAAGCTCTTATTAGGGACGGGCAGGTCGTACACAGAATTTGCAGCGGATGGGGACAACGTACCTGATTCGGACTGGTCGCAGCCGAAGAAACTGAGCAGTTTAAGGAGCAGTTTCTCCTCGATTTGAACCGTAAACTTGCTTGCTGTGATCATCAAGTGCTGGAACGGAATAGGGCGATTAGAGCACACCGAATATTCAAAAAAAAAAAAAAAAAGAGAGAGAGAGAGAGAGAAGGAAAGGGCACCAAGAGGTCACCTTGAACCGCACCGAACGGGCAGCAAATAAATTTGATAATGGTGATGAAAGGCCAGAAAGAAATGCATTTGGCTAAGAGAGTTCATGTAGGACAGAGGTCCTCAACCTTGGCCACTTTAAGACTTGTGGACTTCAACTCCCAGAATTCCTCAGCCAGCCAAGCTGGCTGAGGAATTCTGGGAGTTGAAGTCCACAAGTCTTAAAGTGGCCAAGGTTGAGGACCTCTGATGTAGGAGAACCTGGCAGCCCCGGAATTCAAGCGCTCTGAATTTCAGTCTCTTGGGAGCTGGGTGGATCCGGTGGATTTAGAAGGAGGACATCAAACAAGGGCCCAGAAAACCGAGCATTATGGGGCCCTTGGTGCTTTTCTTGCCTTTTTTTTTTGATCCAAGGGAGCAAGAGATTATAAGATTTTTTTTCCCCCCCTGGTTCTGCAACATCACCCATCAGAGGATTGGGGTGGGAAGGGGTTACCTTGTATATGTCGCTCAAAGGGCTTTTACTGGGAAATTTCATAGCGTTCAGCTGCACGGCTGGGCCCGTGTCGGCCACTTCGTTCTCGCCCGCCTTGGGGGTGAGGAAAAGCATGAAGGGCTGAGTGGTGCGGAGAAGCTGGTTGTCGACCTGCGGGGAAAAAACAGGAGGCGGACGGAGATATATTCAGAGGTTTTCAAAGCTCTGGGCAATAAACAGAGCTCTGGGCTCTATCGTGAAAACAGATGCCCAACTCTATTAGCTGATCAATGGACAAGCAAGCGGAGGACGCTTACAGAAGAACAGGGCTGGAAGGGACCTTGGAGGTCTTCTAGTCCAACCCCTTGCTCAAGGAGGAGACCCCAGACCATTGCAATAAACCAATCAATCAATTGGAACAGAGCTGGAAGGGACCTTGGAGATCTTCTAGTCCAACCCCTTTCTAGACCCTGGACTTTTTCAAAACCTCCAGAAGCTTTACTCTCCTTCCTTCCTTCCTTCCTTCCTTCCTTCCTTCCTTCCTTCCTTCCTTCCTTCCTTCCTTCCTTCCTTCCTTCCTTCCTCCCTCTCCTCCCTCCCTCCTTCCTTTCTCATTCTTTCCTTCCTTCCTCCCCTTCCTTCCTCCTCTTCCTTCCTTCCTCCCTCTTCCTTCCTTCCTTCCTTCCTTCCTTCCTTCCTTCCTTCCCTCCCTCCCTCCCTCCTTCCCTCCCTCCCTAGTGGTTAGAATGCAGGACTGCAGCTAATTTTGCCCACTGCCAGGAGTTCGATTCTCACCGGCTCAAGGTTGACCCAGCCTTCCGTCCTTCCGAGGAGGGTAAAATGAGGACCCAGATTGTTGACGGACAAGATTGCTGACCCTGTCAACCGCTTAGAGAGGGCCGTGAAGCGGCCTATAAGTCTAAGACTTACAGCTGCTGCTGTTGCTGTGGTGCTTTCAATTACCTGCACATCCTGTATACTCAGTTCCAGCACTTGGCTGGCCGACAGCTGGGTGAAATGGACACTGATGCCGATGAAAGTTGCAAAGATCAGCTCTTCGGGGGCCTTGTTAACCAAAGACAAGCCGATCCCTCCTTCCAATTTCAGCTGGACCTGCAAAGAGGGCAAAACACAAAACACAGACCAAAGAGTGGCTGTTAGTTGGGAAGGAATTGCAATCTCCGGGCCGGAGCCGTTCTCCCAGCTCTGCAAAGCTCACTTCCAGCTCTTGCTCCAGGTCTGGATTCTTCAGCTTCCACAAGTCTTGGTCCAACTCCTCCCCTTCGTACGAGAGGCGGTCGTTCCTGCGCTGGTTGAAATCGGTGATCTAATATAATACGGGAAGCACAATTAGGGTTCTTCCTACGAAATTCACAACTGACGAGGTGATCTGCACCCAGCCTGGGTCTTGTTCTAGGGAGTTGCAAGAGAATCAATCAATCTCTCTCTCTCTCTCTCTCTCTCTCTCTGTTTTTGCTTTTCTTTAAAATATGGAGGAGGTGGGGGAATTACTATTCTGGATTATTCTGTCTGAGGGGTCCTTGGTGCTCTCTGAGCTTGGTAGCTTTCATGCAGAGGTTTCATTGCCCAAAGTAGGTCATCATCACCCCCAGTTGTGGTTGTCGTCCTCCTCCTCCTCCTCCCTGCAACCCCCCCTCCCTTCTAGCACTGATGAGGTTCCCTAGTTGGGTCATGAAACGTCTGCAAGAAAACCACCCAGCTCAGAGAGCACCAAGGACCCCGCAGCGATCGTTCTCCTTCTCCTTTTTCCTTCTTTCTCCCTCCCTCCCTCCCTTCCTTCTCCTTCCTTCTTCCTTTTCCCTCCTCCTCTACTCCTCAAACTCCACTCCCTTCTAGCACTGATGATGTAACCTAGCTGGGTAATAAAACACCTGCAAGACAAGAAGACGTTCAGAGAGCACCAAGGCCTCTGAAGCTACAAATATTCTCCTTTATGGTTACTTGTTTATGGTTACAATTGCTTATGACCAGGTTTGGTTCAGATCAAAGTACAAACAAACGCACAAACACACACACACACACAACCATCACCTGCAGAACTCTCGTGGGACCGTCGGGAATCACCTGGACGGCCAGGGCTCCGGAACCAGGCCGCATCTTCTGGTTGATGAACTGCTGGTCCGGAGGGACGGGACTCAACTGTTCCAGGGAAGTGTCGGGTCCCAGAACAACTTCTGCTCCGTCACGGAGCCCGGCTCTGCCTCCTTTGGCCTAGAGGGAGAAGAGGAGGTGACCACAGAGAACAGGGCTCAAGGGGAGGGTCTGTGGAGTGGCCCCCTCCCCCAGGCCCTGGTTGTCCCAAAAGTGCTTTTTCTGGAGGCCACTGGACTTTCTTGTTTTTTCCTTGAAGACGTTTCGCTTCTCCTCCAAGAAGCTTCTTCAGCTCCTCCAAGAAGCTTCTTCAGCTCTGGGGAATGGAAGGATTTATACTCCTTGCAGACAGCCGGTCATTTGCCTCCTTTTAGAGAGTCGTTGAGGCCACTTGGAGGCTTGTCTGTGACCTCGGGGGCAGCTGAGTGGTGCAAATGGGTGTGGAGCCTTCTCCAAGTGGCCTCAACGACTCTCTAAAAGGAGGCAAATGACCGGCTCGGTCACAAATGGGTCGTGTCCACCCCAAACCGTCACAGGGAAAGGATCTCCGTCTACCTGCACTGCGAGTCCGTGCATGCCGCACAGCAGTTTGCCGTCTCGAAAGCTCCATGTCTGGGTGGTGCTTCTCCGTCTGTCTGGCTTTCTCAGCATCAGAGGCTCGTATCTAGGACAGCAACAGCAGCACCACCACCAATCAGTCAGAACAGAGCTGGAAGGGGCCTCGGAGGTCTTCTAGTCCAGCCCTCTGCTCAAGCAGGAGACCCTAGACCATTGCAATCAATCAATCAATCAATCAATCAATCAATCAAATCAATCAATCAATCAGAATAGAGCTGGAAGGGACCTTGGAGGTCTTCTAGTACAACCCCCTGCTCAAGCAGACCATTTCAATCAATCAGTCAGTCAGTCAGTCAATCAAAATAGAGTTGGAAGGGGCCTCGGAAGTCTTCTAGTCCAACCCCCTGCTCAAGCAGGAGACCCTAGATCATTTCAATCAACCAATCAATCAGAATAGAGCTAGAAGGGGCCTCGGAGATCTTCTAGTCCACCCTCCTGCTGAAACAGAAGACCCTAGATAATTTCAATCAACCAACCAATCAACCAACCAACAACCCAACCCAACCCAACCCAACCCAACCAGTCAGTCAGTCAGTCAGTCAGTCAGTCAGTCAGTCAGTCAGTCAGTCAGTCAGTCAGTCAGTCAGTCAGTCAAAATAGAGCTGGAAGGGGCCTCGGAGGTCTTCTAGTCCAACCCCCTGCGCGAGCAGAGACCATGGACATTTCGGGCTCAAGTCGAGGACCACCTGTACGTGAGAATGTCTGGCCCCAAGGTGTTTTCCTAACTGAGCCTCTCAGGTGGAGAGGAGCTCCTGAGCTTTGCCCACCTGTTGTCCGTGACGGCCGCCAAGCCAGCGATGTCCAGAATCATGGAGGACTCTGCCGAGCGAGGGGAGGAGGGCTTGTTCGGGTGACGGGGGACAGCCGAGCCTTCATGGCACAGCATGCCGGTCCCGGTCATCCTCCACAGCTGAGAGCGTTTCCCAGGTTCCTGCGAGGGAAAAGGGGTGATGAAACCAGGGCCGTGTGGCAGCCTTTGAGGCATCGTCTTCCTCCTTCTTTCGAGGCCTTTTAAGCAGCATTATTGGGAAGGAAAAGCAGGAGAATCTCTGCAGCTGTAGGCACAGCAGTCCTTGGCGCTCTCTGAGCTGGGTGGTTTGCTTGCAGACGTTTCATGACCCAGCTAGGGGACATCATCAGTGCTAGAAGGGAGTGGGTTTGCGGAGAGGAGGAGGAGGAGGGGTAGGGGTAGGAGGAGGAGAAGGATGACTGTGGGGTCCTTAATGCTCTCTGAGCTTGGTGGTTTTCTTGCAGGCATTTCAGGACCCAACTAGGGGACCCAATCAGCAAGAGTGCATGTTCACTGAATAAGTTCATTGAATAAGTTTCTAGCACTGATGAGGTTACCGAGTTGGGTCCTGAAACATCTCCGTACCTTTTTCTTCAAGATGACTCTCTGCGTCTTGGGAGAGACGTCCAGGACCAGCTCGGCGCAGTCCACCTCCTTGTTCGTAGCAACGGGTCTTCCCGTCTCTTCCTGGACCCTGGGATGTCAAAGAAAATTGAGAAGGGAGGGTAAGAAGAGACTCACGAGAGACAAGAGACCAATCACGGCGAGAGATTTAGCTTTATCCAAACTCTGGAGTGGAAAACATTAGGTCCCTTCCAGCTCTATTCTGATCGATTGATCGATTGATTGATCGATTGATTGAAATGGTCTAGGACAGGGGTGAGGAACGATGGCCCTTTGATGACTTGTGGACTTCAACTCCCAGAATTCCTGAGCTAGCATGGCTGGCTCAGGAATTCTGGGAGCTGAAAGTCCACAAGTCATAAAGGAGCCATCGTTGCCCACTTCTGGTCTAGGGTCTCCTGCTCGGGCAGGGGGTTGGACTAGAAGACCTCCAAGGTCCCTTCTGATGCTGTTACTCTGTTCTGTTCAGTTCTGAGAAGAGGGACTTCATTCCAGCTAACTCTCTGAGTCTATGCCTAAAATTAAAAATTCTCCATTTCGACCGAAGAAGCTACTTAGGTGAGTAACGGAAACATCTCCGTTTATTTTAGTAAACTTTGGTCCAGTTGCCATGAATAATAATAATTGGAAGGGGCCTTGGAGGTCTTCTAGTCCAACCCCCTGCTCAGGCAGGAAGCCCTGTAAGTCCTGGTTTAGAGGCTTACCCAGAGAAAGTGTAAGAGGCCGCGATGTAGATGAAGTTTTCGTAGTAGAGCTGTTTGCTTTCTTGAAAGTCGTTCATGCAGCAGGTGACTTCGGAGGAACCGGCCCCTTTGACGGTCAGGCTGACGTAGGGCGGGAGGATGGGCTCGTCCCAGGCGTAGTCCAGGGAGGTGGAGGGCTTCACCTCGGTGCTGAGACGGGGCTCGGCCACGCCGTGTTGGGCGAACACCACCGGGACCTGCGAGAGGGACACCCTTGGGGTTACGGCTCGGTCCAGGGAGAGGTGAAGCTGGGCCGGGACTTTGACCTAAACCAGGGGTAGGCAACCTTGGCTCTTTTATGACTCGTGGACTTCAACTCTCAGAATTCCCCAGCCGGCACTGGCTGTAAGTGAACAGTCGTAAACCGAGGATTGATCTGTAATCCAAGCTCCAATTGGCATTCTTCACCCTCTCTCTGCGTTGCATTTAAAGACTCGGTTGTCGCTTTCAGAAGCAGCCTTTTTCCACCCCCTGGGTTTGTTTTTTTTTTTACCTTAGAAAAGTTGTCGATGCGGTACGGAGGGGGAAATTTGTCAGTGTCGCTGAACGAGACGCAGTACGTGGCCCTCTTCAAGGTTATCTCAACTTGGAGGAAGCAGCACCTGCCCTGGGTGTCCCTGGAGAAGGTCAAAGGCAAAGAAGGCCTGGTGTGTTTGGACCACGTTCGCTTCGTCTCACTACAAATGCTCAGGTGTAAACCAATTTTTTTAAAAAATCCACTGTGTAGTAACGCCTACGGGGAGTCCTCGAGTTGCGACGTACTTACATTGAGGGGACGCAGGACCGTTTTTCACACTTAAGAACGGTTGCAGCGTCCCCCTCCCAACCTGTCACGGCCGCAACGTCCCAATCAAACCCGTCCTTTGATCGGTTCCGCCTCCACGTTAATCTGATTTCGGATGTTAAAATTTTAAGGGAAACTCCACGTAAACAAGAGGGACCCTTTAACGGGACAGCGAGGGCGGCACACGGACGCAACGACACACCAAAGGACTCACAACGGCCAATGTAAGACTCCCTGGCGCTCCCCCTTTCCCACCTCATGTTGATGTGGAAGGAATTGTTCTTGTTGACCTCGAAGCCTCCGGACCAAATGCAGCTGGGCACGTCCATCAGCCGGACGCAAAGCAACTGGTCGTAATCGTTCCGCGGCCAGTGGAAGACCACGCTGGATCCCGGGAGGGTGGAGATGTAGCCATCGGGATTGGACGTTCCCTAACGAGACGGGGAAGAGAAACACCCAGATGGCACCATTGGTTGGAAGAATTCAGGAACAGGAGACACACACACACACACACACACACACACAGAGAGAGAGAGAAAGAGAGGAAGGAAGGAAGGAAGGAAGGAAGGAAGGAAGGAAGGAAGGAAGAAAGGAAGAGAGAGAGAGGTAGAGATGGAAAGAGAGAGGATAGATATAGACAGAAGACAGAGAGAGAGAGAGAGAGAGAGAGAGAGAGAAAGAAAGAAAGAAAGAAAGAAAGAAAGAAAGAAAGAAAGAAAGAAAGAAAGAAAGAAAGAAAGAAAGAAAGAAAGAGAGAGAGAGAGAGAGAGGGACAGAGAGAGAGAGATAGCGAGAGAGAGGATAGATATAGACAGACGACAGAGAGGGAGGAAGGAAGGAAGGAAGGAAGGATATAGACAGACAGATGACGGAGAAAGAAAGAAAGAAAGAAAGAAAGAAAGAAAGAAAGAAAGAGGAAGGAAGGAAGGAAGGAAGGAAGGAAGGAAGGAAGGAAGGAAGGAAGGAAGGAAGGAAGGAAGGGAGAGGATATGGATAGACTACCTGTCCCCTGGCAAAGGCCCTCTGGGCGAAGGCGAGGGTGTGTGAGGATTTATTGTCCAGCAGGTAGCGAGGTGCAAAAGTCACCATGCAACTGTCCATGTAGCGCCCTCTGCCCTTCTTAACGTCGATACCTGGTTAGTTAACACAGAGCCGGTCAGAAGAGGAGGAGGGACTCAACTGTGGTGGTAAGCTGTGGACCACCTGCATTCATTTTTTTTTTCTTATTTCTTACCCCAAAGGCCTCTGAGCGGCTACCTATTAAAAAACACTGAAAGAAACTTTAAAAAAAATCGTGACCCTCCACCCCAAAATAACAACAACAACAATGTCCCATTCCTATTGCAAGGGATGGAGGAAAAGAGACCACGTGGTGAGAAAGACATACCGATATTATAAATAAGGCCCGGCCGGTTTCCTTGTTGGATCACCTTGAGGGCTCGGACGCCGCTTCCTCCGTCCAAGGAGAACCCCTGGCACCAGCCAGGCATCCCCTCGGGGTGGATGCCTCTCCCAACCCGCATGGTACAACTGCACAACAACAACAACAACAACACCAGAATAAAACTAAGTTGTTAACTCTTGTGCGAGTCGAGAAGCCCAATGGTTAAACCTCAGAGAGCCAAGCGTCCATGGATAGGCATGGTCTACCTCAGTGTTTCTCAACCTCGGTGACCTTAGGCTGGGTGAACCTCAACTCCCAGAATCCCCCAGGCACCCATATCCTCCAGCCCTGAAAAAAGGGACTTAGAGCCGTTTCTCTCTGGGTCCATGGAAGGAGACCCCCACCCCCGAGCCCCCAAAGAAAGCTTACAAATTTGGCTGTTCTTTGTCGGCGTAGCAGAAGAGGAGGGGGCTCAGGCTGCGGGCCAGCTCGTGTTCTTCAAACTGGCCAGCCGCGTCGGTCTTCGCGTTGTCTTGCCGGAAAATCAACGGCAAGCCTTTGGATGCAAGCAGGGGGAAAAAAAGGGGGATTTAAAAACTCAACCGGCACTAGAAGCAATCGATTGTTCCTTTGTGATTGCCTGCTCCATCCAGAGCCACCATAATATCCAAACAAAATTGGGTATGTCTGATTTAATGAAAAGGGGTGACCTAGGAGCAGCCTTGCAGTATTTGAGGGGCTGCCCCAAAGAAGAGGAGGGGGGGGGTCCATTTATTCTCCAAAGCACCAGAAGACAAGGAACAATGGATGGAAATTAAACCAAGGAGAGAAGCCACTTGGAATTAAGGAGAAACTTCCTAACAGTGAGGACAACTACTATAACTTGCCACTAGAAGTTGTGGGTGCTTCATCGCTGGAGGTTTTTAAGAAAAGATTTGTCTGATATGGTCTAGGGTCTCCTGCCTGAGCAGGGGGTCGGACTAGAAGACCTCCCAGGTCCCTCCCAACTCTTGTCATTCTGTTAAACAGTTTCCATGTTCTTTCCTGGAGTAAAAGCCATCCAGGCAAAGAACATGTTTAGATACTACACGGTTCAGGGTGTTTGTTTTATTTTTGTTAAAACCATTTTTTCCTCCTTGTTCTGGTCCAGTAAGAGAAAATGCAGCGTAACCGGTAGGACCATGTTCCCACAACCAGATTTTTGGGGGGGTGTACTTTTTCCCCCACCTCAAAATTGAAAAATGGAAGATGCCTGGAGCGGAGATTCACCTGTCTTGTTGATCAGCCAGTAAGGAGCCGAAATGAGTATCTTCAAGGAGCCTTTGGCTTGGCCCACGATCCGGATGGTGAGGTTCAAGAGACGCCGGTTGTTGTCGTACAGCCTCATCCGCACCACGTAATTCTGCGTCCCCGGCGGGATCAGAAGCTCCTTGCAGTGGGTGAAGTTTTCGAGGGAGATCCCTGGAAGCGAGCAGGAAGGAAATTAATGCTCTTTAAGACAAAATTAGATGTATAAAAAAGATTCTTAAGGCAAAACTGGATATTTTTTTTAAGTGACTTTTGAAGCAAAACTATACATGTGTGTGTGTATTAAAAAAAGAAAATCCTTAAGGCAAAAAATAGATTTTGGGCGACCGCAGATTAACGCGACTGAATCGGTTTGCAGAACTGACCGCCAGCCGTCCGCCAGATTGGAACCGGCCAGCCGGAGGAGTCGGGGGGAGGGGGGGGGAAATGCATTTTGTCTCTTTACCCAGCTCGATGTTCTGGGAAGTGTCGGCGGTGTGCAGGACGGCTTCCTTCCTGGGTTTGAGGGTCCCGTTGATCGGCACGCCCTTGACGTAGAACTCCAGTTCGCAAGGCAGCAGGTTACACAACACCACGGTGGGCAGGAGATAAACGGTGTGTCCCGGCTGCCTGAAAATCTGCTTGGCGCTGTCGGAGAAGATGCTGGAAGGCATGTAGTCTGGGTAGTTCTCTTTCTTTATAGCCACGCAAAACCTGCGGGAGGAAGACGGCGGCGGACAATTTAGAGAGCGAGAAATCCCCGCCTCTTCGGAGGCTCTTAGGAACGCTCCACGTCAAATGCAGGCATTCCTCGAGTTACGGTCGCAACGGGGCCCCAAATTTGTGTTGCTAAGGGAAAAAGATCTGTGAAGTGAGTTTTGCCTCGTTTTTGAGCTTCTCGCGGTGCAAAAAAAGTCTTTTTCCTCGTTCTTCCTCTGTGGAGCTTGACCTCTACGCCCAGCTCACTCGTTCTTTCCCCTTGTGTCGGCAGGGACACGTCTCGGGGCTCAAAGCCAAAGACACACACACACACACCGTCCCCCGAATCAGCTTCTTTGCAAGGAGGGCGAGGGGGGCTCACCTGAAGAACCGGCTGTTGTCCAGCTCCATGGAGTGACACTCCCGCTTGCTGCTGCTGACCTCCGAAGCCTTCTGGACGTTGGTCCAGTGGATGGGAGACTTGCAGAAGAAGACGCCGGTGCCCTTGGGCCTGGCCTGGAGGCGCCAGGAGGTCAGGTGCAGGGGGACGGCAAAGGAGTCGCCGGGCATCACCGCCGGGAGCACCACGGGTTCTGCACCAAGGTGGAAAGAGCAGGGTTATCTTGGGTTGGGTCTCGGGCGCTCTCTGGGCTGGGCGGCTTCCTTGCAGACGTTTCAGGACCCAACTAGACAACATCATCAGGGCTGGAAGGGAATGGGGTTTGTGGAGAGGAGGAGGAGGAGGAGAAGGAGGACGACTGTGAGGTCCTTGGTGCTCTCTGAGGTTGCCTGTTTTGTTTGCAGATGTTTCAGGACCCAGCTACGCAACTTCATCAGTGTTAGGAGGGGGAGGGGGTTGCAGAGAGGAGGAGGAGGAGGAGGAGGAGGAGGAGGAGGAGGAGGAGGACTGTGGTGTCCTTGATGCTCTGAACTGGGCTGTTTTCTTGCAAACATTTCATAACCCAACTAGGGAACATCATCACTGCTAGAATCAGTAATAATTACGATTAACGATGATGCATAATAATGGTTAATAATCAATCAGTGGAACTGCTCGCCTCCAGAAGTTGTGGCTGCTCCAACATTGGAGGTTTTTAAAGAAGAGACTGGATAGCCTCTTGTCTGGAATGGTCTAGGGTCTCCTGCTTTGAGCAGGGGGTTGGACTAGAAGACCCCCGAGGTCCCTCCCAGCTCTTATTCGGATTGAAAAGGGTTTGTGTCGTCACATGGGAAACTCTGAAGCACTTACTGTCCGGGGCTGAAGGACTGTCCAGCCTCAGCTCCATTGGCATCTCCAGTTTGTTTTTCACAATCAAGGCAGAACGGACCGTTATCACCTTCCGGGCGCTGCCCTCCATGGTCACCGCAAAGACCACTCGAACGGGAGGCAATGAAGAGAACTGTGAAAAAAAACAACACACACACACATATATTTTAAAGAAAGAAAGAAAGAAATGGAATCGATTTACAGATAGGGTGGAGGCCAATGCACACAAATTCCACAACCACGTGCACAGACTTTTAGGGGCCAATGATTTCCCCGTTTGTTAAACGAGCAAATGTTTGGGCCTGAAGGTCAATTAAACCCAGGTGGTCCTTGACCTATGACCACAATTGAGCCTAGAACTTACGTTGCTAAGTGAGAAATTTGTGAATTTTGCCCCGTTTTACGACTTTAAAACTGGTTTATTGCTACTGATGGAGGCAGCAAGCTTCTCAGCTAACACTTTGCCCCTGCTAGGAATTAGACTGGAAGTTGGATTCCGCTTGTGACGACGTAGGGATTCTAGGCTGCTCCCTCTTTTGACTCCACCCCTCCCCTTCTCCTACATCTGGTTTGTTACAGCCACTGTGGTTCAAACAAACCGCGAGTTGGACTACAATCCAACGCAGCTAACAAGAAATTGAAGGACAGAGGAGAGGAATTTCAACTCACATAAACCTGTGGATGGATGATGTTGGTTCTACTAATTGGGCTGCCAACCTAGATGAAAAAAGAGCAAGTTAATGTTAGACGCTGGCGCCTGTGCACAACATAACACACACAGAGACATGGACACACACACAAAACGACCACTTGGGGAACTTGACAGTTTGCTCATGGAGCACAATCTTTCTCCGAAAAAAAGCAGATATTCGGGGCATGGATTATTTAGCCACTATCTCAAGGGAAATAGTCCAGATTTCCCCCTTCCCACACACACACACACACACACAGCAAACTGAATTCTTGAAAAAGTAGATGGCGAAAATGACGGAAGTTGCTAAGATGGCAAGATTGACCGTATTTGATTATTCATTAATGGTGACTGGAAGCTGGACTTTTTGCACAAGACAGAAGAAAAAAAATGAAATTATGATACGTGGGCTGGATGATTGGAAAAAACAGTAACACAAAAAAAAATATGCGCGTTGTAATGTTTGGTTTTTAATGTTCCAGAATAACAGAGCTGGAAGGGATCGTGGAGGTCTTCTAGTCCAACCCCGCCTCCGGTTTCAGAGTCAGGTTGTTACGTTTTATAATTAAGAGTTTTGTGTTTAGTGCTAAACGTAAACCGTTTCCCTGAAAAGAATAAAGTACTCAAGGCTGGACTCACCGTTGAGGAAGAATTGCTTTTATCGGGAGCCGCATACCGGAAAAATATTCCCACTTTGTCAACGGAGACAGGACTGACGGCCTCCCAGCCGTTGACTCTTACTTGCAGCTGGTGAATTCTCAGGTCGTGGGTATGCCTGGGTGGGGTAGGGGGGGTTAAAAATAAATCAATTTACGTTAAGACCCACGGAATGGTATTTATGAGAGAGACAGGCCCAAACTGACATCCCAAACGAGGAAAACAAAATTATTACCTCTTTTCTACATTACAACAACCAAATAAAATGTTGAATAAAGTACAAAACGTGTAATAAAATGATGTTCAACAAGAGAACCGCTGGTTTTTCCTTCCCCCCCCTCCTGCCCTACCTGTGCCTCAGTTTCCCCTTGGCTTCGAAGGCGAAGGGGACCTCTTCTCCCGCGAGGACCTCCCGCCACTCGCTGACTTTGTGGGCTTCGTCCAGAAAGGTCTCGTTTTCTTCTGGCAGGAACGGGGGGCTCCCGCTGTGCAGGAGGGCCGCGCTGGAAAGCGAGAATCGAGACGGTGAGTTCGAGTCCTGCCTTCAAGAGGAAAGCCAGCTGGGTGACCTTCGGCCAGTTAACTCTCTCTTATCTCAGTTTGCTTCACAGGAGGAAAAACAGGAGGAGGAGGAGGACAGTGTGTTGGAAATATTCGCTGTCTTGAGTAATTCAAGGGGGTTGGACTAGATGACCTCCAAGGTCCCTTCCAATTTTATTATTATTATTATTATTATTATAATTCGTCAAATGAATACGGGCAGTCCTTGACTTAAAACGGTTCTCTTAGTGACCTATTCAAAGTTACAACACCCTGAAAAAAAAGTGATGGAGGACCCCACACCCCACCCCTGCTTTCTTACCGAGTCGGGGTGGTGGTCATCGTGGCAAACCAGAGGGTGCAACCGGTGTGATTCCGCAGAGCGAAGGGCACAAAGGGCTGCCTCCGCTTAGGCGCCTTCATTTCAGCTGCGGAAGGAAGGAAGGAAGGAAGGAAGAGTGAGGGAGGGAGGGAAGTGCTGGCCTAACTTACAGGGCTCAGCCTCTTTCGCCTGGGTCAGGAATGTCTTCCCCGCAAGAGGAGGGGGGTCTTTTTCCCTTTATGGGACAAGCAGACCCCTTCCCAAGTCTCAATGGCTTGGGCTAGTGTGCCTCCTAAAAGCCCACCCAGATATTGGGAAGGGAAGGAGGAAGAGAGAAGGGAAGAAGAAAGGAAAGGAAAGGAAGGGAAGGAAGGGAAAAGAAAGGAAGGGAAGGGAAGGAGAAAGAGAGAAGGGAAGGAAAAAGGAAAGGAAAGGAAAGGAAAGGAAGGGAAGGGAAGGAAGGGAAAAGAAAGGAAGGGAAGGGAAGGGAAGGAGGAAGAGAGAAGGGAAGGAGAAAGGAAGGGAAAGGAAAGGAAGGGAAG